ACGAGGTTGCTAGGTTTCTTGCAAGGGCGGCGATGGCATTGCAGAGATCACTTGCTACGGCACCAAACTTGTTAGTGCTGAGGATGACTCTCCAACCGTTTGCATCCAGGCCTGGAGGGCCAACCCTTCCCTGGGTTTTCAGTGCTTTTTTCCACACCATCCCTCCTGTTATTTTCTCGAACATTAGGAGGGATATAGGCACCCTGGAACCTGATGACTTCCTCTTCACTTGCAGGGGGATGTTTTCCTTCAGTTGTTGTAATGGCTCTCTGTTATTGGCAGAACACCACCGGAAAATTCCTCTGTGAGAGAACTTACCGCCAAGGACACTTTTCCCTCGTGCATCTTGTTACCCAATTTTCTGGCAGCATCCTCGGTGTTTTGCTCTCCGTCTTTTCTGAATTTTAGACTCCTGCATTGTTCTTGCCACATTGTCAATCTTGTTTTATTTGTTGCCACGTTTTCTTTGCACATAGACCTTGCGTGTGTCCTCTGACAGAATAGATGGGGTATTATGGCCAGCATTCGAAGAGCTAATGTGGCCAGGGGGATGTCATAATTGTAATTGAATATGAGGCAAGTCATCTCCCGGATTATTTCATTGGTGGCCGCGCACTTGGATGATTCAAAGAGGTTAGCTGGCGACCACCTGACCACTTCTGAGTGTGCTTCCTTGACCCATTTCACCGCATCGTCCCCCGACAAGCCTTTCCAATTTGTTGGCTGTATGTCATTCACCTCATGAACAGTATTTTCCGACTGAGTTGGTTCACTAGTATCGTCTGACATGTCGTCTTCAGGTGATGGATCTCTGCCGTATGGATTTTGGCAGATAGTCCCTTTCCTACAACCCACACATCGTGTGTTACTTCTCACACATATACAGGTTGCGCATTTCTGATTCCAGCATTTGCACTGACAAGCACATTTGCCACTCATGATGTCGTCCCGGGAAGGAGAGGGCAGTTGGAGAGGTAGGAAGTTGTGGTTTGGGAGGAGAGGAGGAAGAGGTCAGTTTTGTTGTACTGACTGACGAGGTGGGGCGGGGCGGGGCGGGGCAGGTCCAGGGCAAAGCACGGCTGGGCACAGAGCGACCAGGACCGTTACCACCCATGACCAGCTAGGGTTACAAGCCAAGATCTACGTGGCACTGGCCAACACCAGCGCCACCTGCTAAACAGTCGCCGGCTCTCCAATAACAATCACCAATATCCACTCACGAGGCCCACAGGTGGATGACACTGTGATCTCTTGACGCCCTACACATTCACAAGTAATAATTCCAGACGTTCTGGCTGGTTGTCCATCTTAATATCCTGGTTTTTGACGAAAAACCCATCCCATACAGAAGAAGAAACTAGTTCTTTTGAGGCAAGGGCGGACATGTGACAGGCTGGACTGCTGTGTCCGGGTAGTAGGGGCATACGTGCTCGCGAGGGTGTGTAGGCCACCCCCCTGAGGACGACAATCCATACATCAGAGTCATGCACTGGGAGCAAGAAATGTCACACCTAACTCTTGTTTATATATCATTGGCAGAAATAACCATTATTTTTATGGTCGCACTGATGTAAGATTAGTTATTTATACAACTACTACTACTTTACATTAATAATGGCCTCCATCCTCCCCCTATAGCCGCACCTTCGCCGCCATTTTATTACCTTAAAATTAAATATCGTAATACATAAGTAGCTACCCTAGCTGTGTTGAGTTCGTTGAGCTGCAGATCTATGCGGCATTCAATGACTGTTGCCTTATAGTCAATATTTGCAACTGTTGTCGGTTTTGGGTCAGATGCTCTCGTTCCCCTAAGGCAGAGCAAAGCCGACCTAAGGAAAGAGAAGGACATAACTTCTGGGCTGCTCCTTCTGTTCAGATAGCACCACCGCGAGTCTGGCGTAGAAGCATCTTGCACTTGGTCCCATCCCACCAGAGGTTGTGAATACTAGAGGAGTGAAGCTGCCTTGATCAACGTTCTGAATTCTCTCCCTGTATGCTCTTATCTTCTCGTTCTCGTTCCTCCTGTGTGCAGCATCGAAAGCTAAGTTACGGTGACATGCGGCCATGGGATAAAAAATCCTGATGTCCAAGAAGGCTCGCTGTCCCCGCGTCCAGAATCCTCGAGCACTGACGTCAACACAGGCTTAGTTGGATGCGTTTGAAATCCTATGTTGAAATTCTCACCGTTCAATGGAAGGAGGGTCGGTTCTACCCTGACATCACAGCAGATTTTCTTCAACATATTTGCTGTGAGGTCCCTTACTTCGTCATGCCTCAAGCTAATGAAGCCCCCTTTCTTGCACACCATGGCGTGATCGCCGTCATAGGAAGAGCCACACACGCATTGGGAGAGCAAACCTTCTACTGGCCTACCGTACCTTAGAGCATTGGCATCTGTAAATACTTGTTTATTGAGACTGAAACCATTTGCCTTTATCGGTAACGGAGTTAACCAGTTCGAGCCACCCACCTCCTGCTATATAGCTACTTTTTTTTTCAAATTCTCTGGTACTTGCAGCAACAGTTGTTGCAACTTATCCCTTTGGCCGTGCTGTCATTCTGTCGTAATGGACCTTCGAATTTTATTTACTTCACTGGTATCCACCTCCTCTGTTGCGTTCTGAGCTATTATGTGGTCCATGAGGGCTGCTGTGAGCTTAACTGAGTTTTGAAGTTCGGTGGCAGCAATCTCCTCTGGATTGGTCAGTCCCATTCCTCCCAGTCTCGGTGGTAGTGCAAGGAGTGATCTTTCTGCTGGGGTTAAGTGAGGGTGTTTCACTTCTACTACTACTTATCATAATAATAATAATAATAATAATAATAATAATAATAATAATAATAATAATAATAATAATAATAATAATAATAATAATAATAATAATAATAATAATAATAATAATAATAATAATAATAATAATAATAATAATAATAATAATAATAATATTAATAATAATAATAATAATAATAATAATAATGAACAGCCACAAATAAAAAATAATAATATATTAATAGTAAGAAATGATATATGTATGTTTTGTTGTGAAAGAGAAACACTTGAACCCTGCAATTGTGTGTAAATGAGGCAGAAAGTCAGATGAGCAACCTGGAACTTGGTCACAATTTTCGTGGTGCCATATGGCAGCAGTGTCTACCATTAGACAACACATTATGCTTCCAATATCTTCCCAGGCGGTAGTACCTCCCTTAGAAACCTCAGTGTCCCGAGTAACCCCTGTGGTCTTAGTAACTCTAATAATCTCAGTAGCCCCTGTAACCTTAGTAACGTCACTAGCCCAGAAACCTCAGTAGCCCCAGTAATCTTAGTAGCCTCGGTAACCTCAGTAGCCCCTGTAACCGCAGTAGCTCCAGTAACTTTAATAACGTCACTAGCCCTAGTAACCTCAGTGGCCCCAGTAACTTTAATAACGTTAATAGCCCTAGTAACCTCAGTAGCCCCGGTAACCTCATTAGTCCCTGTAACCTCAGTAGCCCTATTAACTTTAATAACGTCACTAGCCCCTGCATCGTTAGTAGCCCCAGTAAGTTTAATAACCTTAGTAACGTCACTAGTCCCAATCACCTCAGTAGCCCCAGTAACCCTAGTAGCCCCAGTAACATCAGTAACTTCAATAACCTCAAAATCAGATGCTATCGTTCAACCCCAGTAACCCCCTCCAGCTCCGGTAATCCCAATAGAACCTGTGATCCTAGTAGTATTAGTAGCCCTGACGGCTCTAGTAGCCTTTGTTGCCCCAGTAGTCCCAGTATTCTCCGAAGTCCCAGCAGCTCAAATAGTCCATGCAGCCCCTGTAGCCCAGTAGTCATTTCAGATCCATTAGTCCCAGTAGCACCTGGAGTCCAAGATGTTCAACTAGTGCCTGCATCCACAATAGTCCCTATAGCCCAGTAGTCCTTGTAGTCCCAGGAGACACAGTAGTCCCTTTAGCTGATTAGTTCTTGTAGTCCCTGCAGCCCCAGTAGTCCCTGTAGTCTAGTAATTTTTGTAGGCCCTGCAGCTACAGTAGTCCCTATATCCACTTCAGAGCCAGTATTCCCAATAGCCCCTGCAGATCTAGTAGTCATTGACGCCCTTCAGGCCCAGTAGCCCTTGTAGCTATTTTAGAGCCAAGTATTCACAGTAGCACTAGTAGTCCCAGTATCCCCTGTAGCCCTGGTTGTGCTAGTAGCCCTTGTAGTCTTGGTATTCCTAGTAACCAGTGCAGCCCCAGTAGTCCCTTTAGCCGCAGTAGTTCCTGTAGTCCATTGAACTCCAGTAATCCTAATCGCTAGTGCAGTTTCAGTAGTCCTTATAGTTCTTGTAGTCCGGCATTCCTAGTAGCCCCAGAAGCCCCAGTAATACTATTAAGAGCTGCCCCAGTAGCCACAGTAATACTAACTAGAGCAGTCCCAGTAGCCCCAGTAATACTAACAAGAGCAGCCCCAGTGATACTAACATGAGCAGTCCCAGTCGCCACAGTAATACAATTAAGAGCAGTCCCAGTAGCCCCAGTAATACTAGCAATAGCAGCCCCTGTGGTCCTAGTAGCCCCAGTAATACTAACAAGAACAGCCTCAGTGGTCCTAAAAGCCCCAGTAATACTAACAAGAGTAGTCCCGGTAGTCCCGTTAATACTAACATTAGCAGTCCCTGTGGTCCTAGTAGCCCCAGTAATACTAACAAGAGCAGTCCCAGTAGCCCAAGTTATACTAACATTAGCAACCCCTGTGGTCCCAGTAGCCCCAGTGGTCCCAGTAGACCCAGTAATAAAAACATTAGCAACCCCTGTGGTCCCAGTAGCCCCAGTGGTCCCAGTAGCCCCAGTAATACTAACATTAGCAACCCCTGTGGTCCCAGTAGCCCCAGTGGTCCCAGTAGCCCCAGTAATACTAACATTAGCAACCCCTGTGGTCCCAGTAGCCCCTGTGGTCCCAGTAGCCCCAGTAATACTAACATTAGCAACCCCTGTGGTCCCAGTAGCCCCAACAGAAACCCTCACCGCTGGTCTCGCTGGAAGGAAAGGCGCCTGGCAGAGCGTTGTCGTCCAGGAGGCTTACTGGAGGGTTCTGCTGATTGCCGAACTGGATGTCCTCAATGGAGCGCTTGGTGCCTGGGGGACAGGAAGACATGTACGCTCTTGTGGCAGACACGGGGTGTTATAATGAGACATTCACCATAATTTATATTCTAGTAAATAACAGGAAGTTATACCATCTGTACGTTGTAAAGTGTGACATAATAGGGTAACATATATTATTTGTTTGTTGGTAAGTAGCCAGCTGTATAGCAAGATCAGGAGCACATATCTGATTTGGGAATAAAAAATCCATTATATCTAAAAATGGAATGCAAATAGCAACCATTACTTTGCTTTAATATGTTCTTAACAACAAAGGTATAATGAAAGTATGACAACTAAGGGGCAGAGTCAGCGTGTGGGGGCGACAGACCAACGTCACAACACTGCCAGTCACCGTCACCTGACTGCCTGAGCCAGCCACCCACCTCATCACTACACACACACACACAAAAAATATATATTTTTTTACATAACCCATGAATATTCATTGACATACACACAAACTACAATGTTATGAAACATACAATGAAAAACAGTAACTAGAGACGCGAAGGGCAGCTGATAGATAATGTGACTCACTTTCCTCATTAATTTTTAACCTTTGTCCTATTAACGTCAACAGAATGGAATAAATTGTAAATCTCTCTGTAGCTGTCAGTGAGGATGTCAAGACAAGTCTTCGTGAGGGTGGTCTCTAAACTAGTCACAACAGAAAACACAGAAAATAATCCGGGTGCTGTGATGATAAATCTTTGACCCCTAAAAAGATAACAATAAAATATAACTTTTAAGACATTTCTTGCGTATCTTTGTAAAAAAAAATATCTTTAATGAGGAGGTTATAGGGTGAAATACCTGTGTGCTGTGTGACCACCTACTATACAAACTAAAATGCGTTGTAAACAATTCAAAAGAATAAGGTTTGTGACCGTGTGGCAACAAGTGACTGTAGTGTCATACCAAGTTTTAAATCGGTTGATCTGAAAACAAGGGAATATCATGAAATTTTGACTGTTAATAAATAAAAAAAAGAAGGAAGAAGAAATAATTTTGTTCCTATGATAAGGGGGTAGACATTGATAAATTATAATAAATAATACCTCACTCTTCCATTTTAATTCCTTTTATTTTATTTTTTTATCATTTCAGCACTTATCAACTTACTAGCCGTTCGGGCGTTGGTAACTTGGTATATTCAGTGTAAGTACAGCAGGAAACCAGTGTCCAGGAAACCTGTGATGTTTAGTAGGGCCACACTGAATAACACCTTTCTCAGGTGTGTCCGGGCCAAGTAGGACTCGAGCCTGACCTAAAATGCAACCCAGCTAACGCATGACGTCATCGGGAAGACAGGCCGAGAGACCACGTCCTCAGTCGGTTGCAGCCACTTAGGTGAAAACCGGTGTCCTCTATTTGTGCAGTGTTTGGGTTTAATTCTGTATTCAAATGAGAGGGGAATATGCTCTACCATACATTTTTTAAAGATGAAGAACTAATATGCAAGTGGATTAACATCTGCAAGAGAAAAGTTAACATCAGTACTGACATCACCAGGAAGTTTTCCCTTGAACCCTCTCCTACGTCTCACCCTTTATAAACAGAACATTCATGGTTCCACTTACAGTACTGTACTGTGTTATCTCAGTATCTCACAAAAAAAATAATACTAGTAGAGTGTCTAATCTTGCATATAACTTTAGCTAAGGACACCAATCAGTGCAGTGGCTGATACAGAATATATATGCAGTAACAGAGATGGAAAGGTTAAAAGACAAACAATGCATTTCAGTTTTAGCTATGTATTTAAGGCAGTTATAGACGAGATACCTGCTGCCGATTTTTCATAGAAAATTATTATAAAAATGATACACTTTCAACAAATGTTGAAAAGTAGTTATTTCTAAATTTAACCTAACCCAACTTTAGTTGATTAGAACAACAAGTGATAGAAGCAGTGTTAAAAGACCATATCAACCAAATAAAAAAAATAAAAACTAACCATACCTAACTTCCAAGCCGTGGGGCTCCGCCCCCCTCCCGGAGCCCCTGGTGTAATTTTTCGTTTTTTTGTGGACTTCTGCACTCCTTCTTTTCCTCCTCTCTTCCGACCTGATAACTCTATAGCTAACTCTCCCCCTGACAAAGCCAACCTCTTTGGCACCTTATTCTCCTCTAATTCCACCTTAGACGATTCCCACTGTATCCTTCCTACCCCTGCTCCTCCTGCTGAACCTATGCACTTTCCTATAATCTCCACTCGCAGGGTTGCCGGTGTGTTATCCAGGTTGGATGTGAGTAAGGCCTATGGACTGGACGGAATACCCCCTCGTGTTCTGAGGAAGTGTGCTGAAGCTTTGGTCCCTGTGCTTGCTTGCCTCTTTCGCCTCTGCATCAAAACACAATCTTTTCCTTCTTTTTGGAAGTATGCCTTGGTTCTGCTCATCCCGAAGAGGGGTAACCATTCTAGACCCTCTAACTATTGCCCCATTGCCCTAACTTCATCCCTCTCTAAGATTTTCGAAACTATCTTGAACTCCCATTTTCTCCGACACCTTGAACTCCACTCTCTTTTGTCGGATCACCAGTATGGCTTTCGCCATGCGAGATCTACTGGTGATCTGCTCTCCTATTGCACCATCATTGGTCATCTTCTCTTAGGGATTATGGGGAAACTTTCGTAATGGCCCTCGACATCTCCAAAGCATTTGACAGGATATGGCACAAGTCTTTGCTTTCTAAACTTCCCTCTTTTGGTTTCTCTCCCCAACTTCACAGTACAACTAATTCTATCCAATCTTACGCTGATGATTCTACTCTTCACTCTTCTTCACATTTTACCCTTCCTCCTAAATCTCAAACTAGGTCTATTTCTAGAGCTGATATCATTACTTCTATCAATGCGGATCTGTGCAGCATCTCTGAATGGGGAGGTACAAACTTGGTAAATTCAATAGTAATAAAACTCAGTATTTACCAATTACGCTTTCTAAATTAGATGATCTCCCACCAATTACATTTCAGGACGCTATCATTCTGCCAAATTTTGAAATAAATATGCTAGGCCTCACCATTTCCTTCAATATGTCCTGGAAATCACACATCCTCAACATTGCTAAAGCTGCCTCCCGAAAGTTGGGAATGCTGTACAGATGCCGTAGCTACTTCACTCCTGAGTAGTTGCTCCAAGTATATAAGGGATTCATTCGTCCTTTAGTCGATAATCTCTCTTCCCTTTCTCTTCGCCGCAATGTTGCTTCACTCTCTCTCTTTTACAGATACTTTAACGGGCAATGTTCGGTGGATTTTGCATCTTGTGTACCCCCGGCAAGGCCGTGGGCTCGTAACACACGTCTTGCCCGCAGTGCCCACCGTTTCTCTGTGGATGTCGGTCACACGAGAATAACCCGTTATAGTACCTCCTTCTTTCCTTACACAGCCAAACTGTGGAATGCTCTGCCTTCTTCTGTGTTTCCATACTTATACAATCTGTCTCACTTTAAAAAGCTGGTTTTCCGGCATAAAATTTTCTTCTCTATTTTCAATTTCTTTCTGTTCTTATTTTTTCGCCCCCCAGGCCTCGTTGTGGGTCGTTTGACCTGTGCCCGGGTGGGCTAATTCCCGTAAAAAAAAATAATAATATAAAATAAAATTAATAAAAAGCCGCCCTGACCGATTTACCACTTAGCAAGGCAAAGTAGTGCTGCTAGTGCGAGCCTTGTGGCCTATCTCCCAAACAAAGCATTTGCCCAAGAAATGAATATCATATCAGAACTCACAGATGAAAATATAATAAGAAAAGAAAAACGTAAACAAAAAAATAATGCAGCGGCTGGTATATCGTCAATATTAACTACATTTAAATAAGTGGTGACATGAGGTGACAGGAGTTATGACTTCACATGACAAGAGTTACTGCCACTGACGCCAGATTATAGGGGGAGTGGTAGTTAGGTTAGGTGATCACAGGTGCCGCCTGTGAGATGGGGTGACGGGAGTTATGACATCACACGACAAGTAGTACCCCTACTGACACCATTTAGGCAAGTGATCTGTGAGTTGATACAATAAATTTTGACTATTTTAAGATGTTTATTTAACTTTTCCCATAAAAAAATCAGGGCAAAAAAATTTCATCCATAAATTTGCCAGGGCAAGTAAAAAAGCACACAAAAAACATAACATTGTATATTTCCCTATCTGAAGCAGATGGATTTATAAAAGAGGACTTATCTCCATACCCGCAGCCAGGGTATTCAACAAGCTCATATTAAGTGGGCCAATATAATTAACTACAACAGCTATTGGATATCCAGTTGCTTCTCCCTATACAATTGTCATACAAAATAGCCTTGTTCATATCATTCTCAAATTTTTAATATATTAGTTGCTTCCATGAGTCAATCACACACTGAACTCGTTTTTTAGGTGCATAGAGGATGTAGACTCATTTCTATGCTGCAACAGCTGCAGAACTACATGCTACACCCCTGGTTCCACATTGAACTCAGAAATCCAGCAATGCAGTGTATTGCATATATATTCTGTATGCAGTTATATGCAAAATTAGGCACTCTAGCAGTAGTATTTTCTATGTGAAATACTGAGGTAACAAAGTACAATATGTGGAACCATAAATGCTCTGCTTATAAGGGGTGAGAGGTAGGGAAGAGAGCGCGGGAGTCTTGTAGTGGATCTCTCCTCTACAACTGCGTATCTGCATTCCAATGCGACAGTATCCTAGCAACCAGCGAGCTGTTCAGGGTGAGGGGGTCACCACCTGCTACGTCTGCCCTAGCAACGGAGTCAAGAAACCAGCGAGTTCCCACGGGTTTACTTCCGGCTGCTGTGTATATAAGCTCGCAGTCTCTCCATTGACATTCATTCGCAAGGTGGATTGCCCACCTGCTGTTAAACTCCTCCTCTATTTCCCACTTCTTAACTTTACCTTGTACCCTCAGAGCAAATGCCCTCTTCTCTCCGTATCACCGACCACCTGACATTCATTCTGCCCTACGTTCCTGAACACGCAA